CAAGGGGATGGGCTGAGCTGCAAAGCTGCTGAAGGCTGTGCTGACACTTTTTACTAAGCTGCGACGGACACGAAACAGCCGCCCCAGCCGCCCGCCACCTGCTCCCTCTGCGAACAAGTAGCGCCAAACGCCTCTTCCCAGATCCCCTCCCACTCTGTTTATCCGGGAAACGCAGAAAGTTGGTGCTTTCCCGCAGGGAAGGGCGCTCCCGGCCCCGGGGAGCCGGCAGGGAGGAGCAGGATGTCACCGCGCCGGGAGGCAGTGATGAAGAAAAAAAAAAAAAAAAAGGCACTAAGGTCTGGTTGTGCTTTGGGTTTGAGCCTCTGAAACGAGGATTTGCTCTGAAATATTTGTGCAGCTGAGCAAACTCGGGGCGGAAAGTGCCGGGAGCAGGGGAGGAGGGTGCTTGGATATCAGCACTTGGTTTCTCCTGCACCGCGGTGCTGTAGCCAGGGGGGTTTGGGTCCTTCAGAAGGGGGGTGGCTGGGTCAGATTAAGGCTAGGAGCAGCTCAGAGAGGTCTCAGGTCCTGCCCAGGGCCAGGCAGGCTGAGAGGACAGGTCTGCCTGGAGGAGGAGCAGGGCAGGGCAGCAGCAGGGTGAGCACCAGCCCTTGTTCTGCACCCCCGTGTGCAGAGAGCTGGGCCTCACCCCATCCACCCCTCCTGGTGCCCCCACATCCCACCTATAGGACCTGGCTGAACAGGACCTGGACACCGATCACCCCATGCTTCAGGTACCAGGTTGTTCCCCACCCCAAAGAGGCTTCACCTCTTCAGGCAGCTCCCTTAATCTTCAGCCTGACCTTCTGGCCAGACTCTGGCATCACCTTCCACGGGCAGGTTACCTCAGGCTGATCCTCTGCAGCCTCCTGGAGAGGGGCAAGAGGGACCTGCAGGACAGCAAGCCTTTGGAATAACCAAGCAACACATGTTGGGACTCCAGAGGTTTGCAACAGAACCATCTGGGAACAAATTTTGTAAGAGTCTCACATGGTTTGTACCTCCTGTGCACACCCACGAGTCACTGGAACGGCTGTTAGAGCACCCAGGGCTCCACATCCACCCTCTCCTCCCCTTTCAGCCAGCTGATCCTTCCTCCCATCCCTTCCCCAGCTCCACTATCACTTTCCATCAGGGAGAAGCAGCTCAGCAAACCTTCCCCAGAGCCCAAATGCTGAAGTGTCCCTTGGTGGATGAGAGCAGGGTCTGTCCCAGGCAGCACTGAAATAACATCCTGCAGCATCTCTTCCACACACTTTCCCTAAGCAGGAGTCATCTCTCAGCATTACCCCATGCACACAGCAGTGCTTCCCAGCCAAACTGGCTCAATGCTTGGCTCTGGGAAATCTCATTTGCCCTCCCAAAGAGGCCCCACAGAACCTCCAAGTCACCCAGGAGGCAGGAGAGCTCTCCACATCGGAGACAAAGGAAATGAACCGGGGCAAATCCCCCACCCACGGAAACCAGCCCTGGCATCTGGTGATTCACTGTGATTTACACCAGCTGGCTCTGGCCACAGAGAGTTCAATTCAAACCAGCTGAGGCTCTGGCACAGCCCGTGGGGCTGGAGAAAGAGAAAAGAGAAGGCAGGACAGGGTTGTGTCAGTCAAAACAGGGTCAGACCCGGCTGTAGGTGGGTGTCTTGAGCTCCAGATTTTCGCCCTGGGAGCAAGCAGAGGTGCTGGGAGAGGGTGCTGTGGAGATAGGGTGCTGTGGAGATAGGGTGCTGTGGAGATAGGGTGCTGTCCTACAGCGTGTGTGGGGTAGCTGGTTGGTGCCCAATCACCCCACAGGCTCCCTGTCTGGGAAACAGCACTAGGATGGGTTTCCAGCGGGTCTGGAATCTCAGGCAGTGTGGAATTATCATAGCAGTGGTGCAAGGACTGGGAAGCTCAGATGTGGTTAGTGATGTTACTGTGGGGAGAGGCTGCTGAGGTGACTTGGGGTTGTTCTTGTCAGAGGTCAGGACTGAAGTGCAGAGCAATGGTTTCTGTCTGATTGCTGTTTATGGGGTGGATCCCAAAGCAGTGCAGTTGGGCTGGAGGAGGATCTGCTCCAGGTGGGCTCTATCAGCCTGGATGGTGGAGACCCCCCTGCCGATCCCGGGGCTGAGCCGTGGAGGTGGGAGCTGCTGTCCACCCACTAGTGCTCAGAGCCAGCTGCTTGCCAGCATCTGACTGACTTGGCCGGGATAGGAGGGATGTGCAGCCAGAGCTCCCAGGCTTGTCCCTGCTCAGCTGCTCCCTCTCCACCTGCCCCTGTAGCAGAGCAGCTGCTGCCCAGGGGCTGAGGGGTAACAGCAGCAGTGAATATCCACAGAGCTCCAGGATTTCTGTGCCAGGGGAGAACCATCACCATGTTTATCATAACCACGCTGGTGTCCTGAGAACATCCACAGTTGAGCAGAATGGTGCCAGAAACCTGCAGGAGCTGCAATGGCCTGTCTGTCCCTTGTCACCCCCTGCTCCACTGAGCAGCTGAGGGGAAGCCTCTCTGGGCTGTCAGGTCACTGCATGCACATTTAGTTCCCTTATAGACTTTTCCTGCAATGTTTATGGCCAGGAACATCTTACCAGTGTGTTGGATCAGGAATATTTCTGTTCCCCCAGCTCAGGGACACCGGGCAGTCACGCCCCACCTGCCACGTAGGCATGGCTGGAACTTTGCTAGTGAATCTCCATCATCTGAACTGCAGTTTTTATGGAATATCCACTCCTTTCTCAGTGCATTTCAAGTTTTACTCGATGTTCAGAGTCATGTTAGATGAGAAAAGCAAATGTAATCAGAGGCTGGAAACCCTCAGTCATCAGCTCAGCTCCTGGGTTTTGAGGGGCTTTGTCTGGGTTGTAGCTGTGCAGAGACCTCAGCTGGGACTCTTGGAGGAGGAAGGGGCCTTGCTTCAAATCATAGCTTTTGGTTTTGGCCCTGACTGGGTAATGCTGAAAGATGAAGCCATGTATTCCTGTGGATGCTCTCCTGAGGAGTGGGAACAGCAGGCAGAGGTGGGGCAGGAGGATGGTGCTGAGCTGGGGGACTCTTCATGGCCATGTTGAGAGGGGCTGGGGCACACATGGATCAGAGGTACTGAGGTGGTACCTGATGATCTTGGCAAGTGTGAGTGTCCAGCTCCTCGAGTTTCCTTCACTTGTTAGTTCCTCCACTCAAACTGTTCAGCTGCTGCTTGGCTCAGGCTGGGTTTGGCTCTGGTGCCAGAGGGATCTTGCAGAATTGGATCTGGGGTCCATGAGACCTCCTGGAGCATCTCCTCTCCACCTGACAAAGCTCCCCATGGTTCTGAACTCACCTCCCACTCCAGGGACACCTCCTGTACTGGGGCTGGTGAGCTGAGAGGGTGCAGAGCACCCAATGCACCACATCTGCCCTCCTTGCCTGGGCTGGCTTTGAGCATCCACCACTGGAGATCACCTCCTCCAGCATGGCCCTGTCCCAAAGCTGGCTTCATACCACGGCCCCTGTGTGCACAGCAGAGCTGCAAACAGAGTTATGGCCAGGAAATGTTGCCACTGCTGTGGCTGTGCAGCCACTTCCAAGCTCTGTGCCTGTTTCCCCTCCCAGCCTGCTTGGTGCCAGTGTCCCTGGGAAGGAACTGCTTCTTGCAAGGGCTTTTGCAGCACACAAGGAATGAGGCCTCAAGCCCTGCTGAGGCTGTGGCATGTGCCACCCTGGAGTGTGACACAGCCTTGCTGACAGGGGACAGGGAAGATGCTGCACAGCTTCTCCCCCAGGGTTTCATGTCGTGGTACTGGAGAGGAGGGGGTGTTGCCTGGGCAAGTGTGTTCTGGTGTGGCACTGCCCACGTGGGCTGGGGCAGGATACGGGCACCAGCAGCATTCCCATCCTTCCCTGCATCCCCACCCTGCTCAGAGAGCCCTGGGGCCCTGCTGGGGCACTTCAGTTTTCACACCTGGGCTCCATGGGTGGCTGTGCAGGGATGATGGGCAGCTGGGACAGTGGAGGTGTCTGAGGGCTGTCACTGTACCAGACATGTCCCATTTTTTCCCGAATAAGGGGATTCTGTGTGTTGGGAACCTCTCTCCAGCACCTGTGGCTGCTGAGGAGACATGAGATGTGCACGGGCAGCACGTCCATGAGCCCACCTCGATTCTGGGAGCTGGCATGAGGTGGTACATCTCCAGCTGTGGCACCACTGGAACGTTCCCAGCAGTGGCTAGAGCGCACCAACCGCGTGATGCCGTCCAGCCACGTCCCACATCCCTCACTGGAGGTCCCTGGGGAGCAGCAGCTCCCGGGGCAGGGCTCAGCATCCCTGCAGCCACCCGGGCCCGTGGCCCGGCTCCAGCCCTGGTGGCAGTGCCAGGAGGCCGTGCCAACCCTCCCGCCTGCCGCCGCTCCGGCCCCTGCGCCGCCCGGGCACGGCCGGCGTGTCCCAGCAGTGGGGGCCCATTAGAAATGAAATGTTCCTACTGGGGCATTTTATTTGCACACTTCAGTAGAGTGGACACCAAAAGGCTTTGCTAATGCTTCATGGGCTGCTAATTTCCTCTCTGACCCGCATTGTCGGAGGGTGACCCCAGCCCGAATCTCTCGGCAATGAATGCCAAAGGCTGACACTGGTCCGGGTTAGGGGTGACAATGGGGCCTCTGTGGGCTCCGGGCAGGCTCCAGTTGGGAGCTGGAGAACAGGGAGAATTTGTGTGGCTCTCAAAAGCTCTGGGTGGCACAATAAGGGAGGCCCCCGGGGTCTCCCAGGAAGACAGAGGCGGCCCAGGGAAGCCGGGCTGGGGGAGGCGGGCGGGAGGATGGTTTCCTTTGTGAGCAGCTTTCTTTAGAAAGGAAGGGTTTTCTGAATGCCCCCTTAGACGACCCAATCGGGGCCTGGCAGATGGATATCACAGGCACGCTGCTTATTCATGGCAGGCTGCAGCTTTGAGCCGTCCCCCCTTCCCCCAGCCCTTTATTCATTTTAAGGCTAATTTGTTTTGTTAATGTTTTCTTGCCCTCCCCCTCTCTCCGTGCAGATTGTGACTCATACTGCAAAGCCTCCAAGGGGAAACTGAAGATCAACATGAAGAAGTACTGTAAGAAAGACTATGGTGAGTCCTCCCTCTCAGCGCTGCTTCCCAGGGATGAGAGGTGGCAAAGGGCTGCAGAGGAGGAGCATCCCCCTCTGGGGTGTCCCCAAGCCCTCCCAGCCCAGGGAAAGGCTGCTGGCTGTGTCCCAGCCACAGCCATGGGCAGCCCAGCTCTACCTGTGCTGGGTCGTGTGCAGTTTTGGGAATGATTTTTGGCAGGTTTGGAGAGGCAGCCCTGGGCAGCAATGCTTGGTGGAGAAAGTGATGCAGTGTGTTTCTTGGGAAATTGGGATGAGGACACTATGGACCCTGATTAGGGGATTGTCTTAGCGTCTGCAGGGAGACTCATATTTTCCAGGTGTTTCCAATGTCTTCTTGGTTACAATGGCACCATTTCCCCTCTCTTTATAAGGTGCAGCAGCTTTCAAAAAATGTGCTTTGCTATGGGGATGAGCAGAAAGCAGCTCCCTGTCACCCAGATCCATCCCCCTTAAATCCCAGGACAGTTCAGAAGGTGGTGCAGCCCTGGGACAATCCAGGGACACTGTGGAATCCTTGCTGGTACCCAAGGTCCTGAGAATCCTTCCACAGCTCTGCCCTGCAGCAGTGGCTTGGAGCAGGCACATCCCAAGCTCTCTGCTCCTGGGATTATTTTTAATGTGGGTCCATTCCCAATATGGTCACCAGTGGGTCCATGCAGTGTCCATGCAGGACATGTCCAGAGTGACCCCAGGAGGAGCTTCTCTCCTCCTTGGCTCAGACATCACCCACTGGCAGGTGGGGAGGGATGGCTCTGCTCTGTCCCTCCTTTGCCAGCTATGCCAACGCTGCTGGGATGAGCTGAGTGTCAGGAATGGGACCAACCTGGAAAAATCTCCTTAAATACAGATGCTGTGTGCCAGGGGATGGTTAGAAATGCAGCTAAACTTATGGAGTCCTTCCATGGACTGTAGAGGGGGGAGCGAAGTGTCTGGAGGAAGGACCAGCCATGAGCTTTTGGGTTTGACCCAGGGATGGGGAGTGGGCTGAGCACTGGCAAGCCTAGCTCAAAGCTGAGCCTTCACACATGCAAAAACCAGGGAATATGAGATGCTGCAGGGTTTAGCATCTGTCCAGTGCCTGCCAGTCCTTCCCTCCACAGTGGAGGAATACATAAAAGATATCTAATATCTGTATCTAGGTATAAATATATGCATGTGTATGTTTGTATCTGTGTGTATATATATTTTTCCACCAAACTATCAAGCAAAAGCATCGCATTCCATCTACATGAAAACACCCAGGAGTGGAGATACCTCCTCCCTCCTTCAAACACACAGCAGCAGCTCAGCATGTCTGGGAAGTGTTTGCAAGAGCAGAACGAATTCCCATTTAACAGCCCATCCCTGGACAAGGCACTTCCCAGCAGGGCTGGCTGAGGGATGCTCCACACTGGCTTTGTGCTCTGTTGCTTCCCCGTGAGCTCAGGGGAGGGAAAAAGGCCTTGGAGGCAAATCTTTTATTTCCATTCCCATTTATTCTTCCTTTATCCACATGGCAAAATGGTTGTGGAGCAGAGAGTATCCCTTGGCAAGGGTGAGGTGCCAGGGCTGGGGTGCAGTTGTGGTCCCCATCCAGCAAGGCTGTGCCGAGGTCTGGTCGTGCTCGTAGGAGCTGCTGGAGGTTCAGCACGTGTTGGAAAGGTCCAAGGAGTGCCTTTTCCCTTGGATAAAAGGGTTTAATGGCACTTGGGAAAGTCGCTGCTAAGAGGTTATTAAGGTTATATATGGGGTTATTAAGGAGGGGAGCAGGGCTGAGCCCCAGGCCACTAAAGCCGTGGGGTTTCCTTGTGGGTGAATTCTCTGCTGGCTAAGAAGCTACAAACACATTTCCCACATGTGGACATGCATCCCCCATTTTCCCACCTGGCTTCTCCAGCATGTCTTGAGAGCTGAGCTCACACTGGAGCATCTGCCCTCTGAAGAGGAGAGAAAACAGTTGCTTGACTGCAGGAAACTCGGACTTGTCATGATCCAAGTCGGCCCCAGGGGTTGGGGGAATGGAAGGGAGGACAAAAAGGCAAGTGCATCCCCCTCAGAGCACGTTTCCAGCCAGGCAGTGTCACCTTTCCCTGCGCTCTTGGGGAGAGGATTGGGAGGTTTTGGTGGTGGCAGCACCTGGGTTTTGCTGGAGGGGCAGCCCTGGTGTGGTTTTGCTCCTTGGCTTGTCCAGTGTCACCAGGGGGTGTTGGGGGTTCAGCTGAAAGCTCACACTTGGTTTTGTTTGAGGTTGTAAAATGGTCTCTTGGGCTCCAACAGGCCCTGGGGAGATGAGAGCAGCTCAAGAGCTTTTTTGGGCAGGAGATACCCCTGGAGCCATGAAAAGGGGAGAGAGATACCCCCAGAGCAGTGATTAGGGGAGCTGGAAAGAGCTTTTCTCTTTTATCCCACAGCAGCACTTCTGCAGCTTCACCAGTGAGCCAAAACCATTTGCTGGTTTGGGTGAGCGAGTGCAGGAACTGGGGTGCTCCCAGCCGAGCCCTCCTGAATCTGGAGGGGTCCCCAACACCCCCAACCAGCCCCACAGCCACGGCAAATTTGCTTTTCCAAGGGCAAACCAGGCTGGTGAGGCAGCAGGGTGAGCGGTGCCGTGCCGGGGCAGTCCTGGCTTTCACCGGGGTGAGGAAGGGAAGAAAGGGATGAAAAGGTGCAGGGAGGGATAATAAAGACTTTGGGACTGACACCCCAGCAGGAAGCCAATTAGGAGGCTCTTTTCCTCACCGTTCTGCTGCCGTCGCTGTGCTGAATGTCCTAAAAGGCCCTAATTAGCTTGAACAGAGTTACTTCTCCCGCGGGCTCAATCGGGAGCTATCATCCGCCCGCGCTCCTCAATGGGGCTTTTTAGCTCCCCGCTTCATTCAGCCATTCAAAGGGGATATTTTCCCTTATTTATTTTTCTTATCTGTTTGTTTTTGTTGGGTTTGCGGTTTTTTTTTTTTCTTTTTATTTTAAATTGGGCTTTTTCCCTGCGAGATGGGTTTTGGTGCAAATATTTGGAGTGAAACAGGGCGCGGGGAGGGCGGGCTGGGAGATTCGGGGAGGGGGGAAGGCAAGAAGAGAAGCAGAAAAGCTTTTTCTGGGTTTGTTTTGGCTGCGTGGGGGAGCGCAGGGTCACCCAGCTCCCAGAAATCCAGGGGTAGAGGAGGGGTTTCGTCGGGTTGGGGTCACTTAAATTAGCCTGGGGAAGCAGAGGGGATCCCTGCTGAACCCACTGAGGGTGGAGATTCCCCCGTGGCCCAAAAGGAGAAGGGATTATTTGATTAGAGCAGGTGATGCTGATCCAGGTGATGTGGGAGCATCCTTTACTCACTTGGGTTGCTGCCATTTCATCCTGTCCTTTGGGGCTTTTCCCACTCTCTGTGTGATTGTGGCTCATCCACTGTGGCTGTGGTAAAGGAAACCTGAAGCTTTTAAACCTCATTTCCCCCCTGATTCTGAGCCCCCTGTGCTGTACCAGGGCCTGATCCTGCCCAGGTGATCCCAGAGAGTTGTGCTGGGCCCTGTGTCCCCAGCCCAGCATCAGGGAGAGGATGGGGGTGAGGAACAGGATCCTCATCTGAAAGGTGAGATCATCTGCTCACTTTGCCCTTTCTTGGAAAAAAAAAAAAAGTGAAGAAAAAAAATCCTTCCTTTTGCGGAGCCTTCACTTAGTCACCCCCTTTGTCGAGAGGAGCTTGGCAGGGGCTGCTGGAAAAAAAGGAAAAACGTGTTTTCAAAAGGCAGCTTGCAAAGAGGGAGGGGGGAGAAAAAACCCTGAATCCAGAGGAAAACACAAGGCACGGGGGGAAGCACCACCCCGGGCGCTCACAGACCCTTCCACTGCCCGGGAAGGTGGAGAAATCCCATTCCTGGAGTGGGGAAGCACCGAGCAATCCCTCCTGTAACCACGTGCTGAGGGAGTGACCTGGGCAGTGAGGGGACCCCCAGCACCACGGGGAGGGGCCGTGTCTGGCCAGGGCACACCCAGGCCGGCCGGGATTAGGGGTCATAAATCTCCAATATTAAACCAGTAGGAAATTGGCAACTGGAGCGAGGCAAAGCCACCGCCAAATAAATTAAAAATTAAAAAATAAGGGGAGAAAAATCCCATTTTAACTCTTTGCTCCAGCAAGGAGCCAGCCCTTTACATTCCCAAACCCAGGTGGTGTCGGGGTCACCTTTAGCTGCTGGGTTGGAATAAAATCCACATGGGCTCCACTCTGCTTGTGCAGTGAGATGGGAGCCAAGCCTTTGGAAAGCCCCATCTCAGGCTGGGACACCTGAACCCCAAGCACCCACTTCCATCAGTCCATATTAAACACCTCCTTCCATCAGTCCATATTAAAGACCCTCTTGTTCTCCCTGCAGACTGCTCTGCTCCCACTGCCACCCCCTGGGCCCAGGGAATCTTTCCCAGGGGCCAGCACAGTGATGCTCCCAGTCTCTGGAAGCTCCCATGGACAGGTCAGTGCATAGGATATACACAATATTCTGTGTATCCACAATAGGATGCACAGGTTTGGCCCTGCAGCCCAGCCCTAGGTCAGCCTTGGCAGGGGAAACCTCAAAAGCAGGAGATTTATCACAAACGCCAAAAGCAAACCTGAAAATTTAAATAATTAATTTTTTTCCCAGCCTCACTCTTTTCATGGCAATCCCAGGATTTTTGGGCCCCTGACTCATGGTCTCTGAATGCTGTGAGGAGCTGCTTTGCTTTAAGCCTTGTGCAGCTGCCCTCAGACATGTTGTTTGGAGGGTTTGGGTTGGGTTGGGTTTTGTTTTTATTAACATCAAGCCATCCACCCTTCTGCTTTCATCTCCAGCATCCAGCCTTTGGGTCTTTCTTGTGGCTGGAGGCTCCCTGCCAAGCCTCCAGGAGCCAGGCAGCATCCTGAGCCCCTGAGCTGAGCTCCAGGGAATGCAGGAGGGGAGCAGGGACACTCCATCCCCTCCCACAGCCCAGGGGCCACTCGGCCACCTTTTTCTTCCAAAGCAGCATAACGTGGTGAGACTTGTAAGGCACCATCCAGGCAGGATTTGTGGTCCAGGAGCACCAGTGTAGGGTGGGATGTGGTTCATGGGGCGGCTCTGTGTGCTCACCAGGTCCCCCAGCTCCCCATGCCCATTGCTGACTGGGGCTCCTTTGGGGCTGACAGGGAGCAGAACAGAAAAATCCCTGGAGAAAAATCCCTGGAGCTGTGGGGGTGTCTGGGGTGCAGCAGCCCCAGATTGCCTGCAGGACTCAGCTCCCCACTGTTTGCAAAGCTCAGGGACAAGCCACAGGCAGCCCCAAGGCTCTGCCAGGCTTGGAGCCTGCACTGGGGCCCATCCTCACTGGAAACCAGTGTCACCAGCCTGCACTGGGGCCCATCCTCACTGGAAACCAGTGTCACCAGCCTGCACTGGGGCCCATCCTCACTGGAAACCAGTGTCACCAGCCCCAGCTGGAGCAGCAGCACTGTGAAAGCTGCAGTTTGTTTGATTTTTGTGCTCCTGCTCCAGGTCATCACCCACTCCCAGGGCATCATGGCCAGGGGAGCACCATCTCCCCAGTGGTGAATAACCATCATCCCCTGTTGCATCCTTTCATCTGGCTGCCCCATGGATGCTTTCAGGGATGTTTTTCCAGGGATGTGGTGACAGGGACAGTCTTGGTAACAGGGGTTCAGTGGGAGAGCAAAGTGAGAGCAGTTCACCAGGGCACAGATAAAGCCAAGCTTTGCCCTGGGAAATGGCAGGTAAGGACAACACCAAGCACTAAAACCAGCTTGGGGGGGGGGGGGCACAGCTGAGCCCCCTCCAAATCATGAAGGGGCTGAAACCTTCTCTTTCACGAGAAATGAGAGTCTAAATCCCTGGGGATTCACTCAGGGGAGCCAGCTTAGGTACCTCCTGGTACCTTTCTGTATCTCTGCATGTCTTGTGTCCTCTGGGAGACGCTGGACAAGCTGGTCCCACTCCACCACTGAGACACCCCAGCAAGGCACTGCTAAACCTGAACTCCAAAACCAGGCTCAGGGGGAACTGCATGTCCTGGATGTGAAGTTATGGGCAGAAAACGGGCTGTCAGGGGAGGCAGCTGCAGCCACGCCAGCCAAGCCTTCCTCAAAGCTTTCACTCCTTCCACTTCATTAATAAAAGGGGAAAAAAATAAGAGACGGGGGCCTTGACATCAAAAAAAATACAGACTGTGTGTTTTAGAGCAGAGTTTCCTGTAACCACTTCTCTCCGGTTCCTTTTCATTCATTTTCTCCATTTTGTCAGTGTGGACCCAAGGCAGGTCAAAGGTTTAAGCTCTTTTGGAAAGATTTGTTTCCAAAAAATAAAAATTGGCTAATCTTCACATTTTGTTACCTTCACACCAGACAGGGAAATACATGGTCAGAGCTTAGGGTTGTTTTTTTTCCTTTTTTTTTTTTTTTTTTTTTTTTTTTTTTTTTTTTTTTAATGAAAGCATCTGGCCTCCATGACATGCTCTGAAAAAAAATACCCCATATATTTTGCAACGTGTTAAAAAGCTGTGCTGGGCTGCAGAGCTCTGCTTCCTCCCAGAGCCTGGGATCAGTTGGCATGGTGTGTTTTTATAGAGGGGGTGATTCTCCTCCACCCCTAACCCCGGTGGGGGGAAATTGGGTTGTTAAAAGGCAAATGAGAGAGTTTTGCCTGTTTTTTTGGGGGGTTTCTTCTCCTGCTGTTAATTTATAGAAGCAGGATTGGCCCTGCTTGGGCCTGGCCAGACAGCTGAGACAGGCAGGTGGATGGGTAGGGGGTTATAGCTCCCAGGGCACGGGGGAAGAGTGGGAAAAAGGGAAAAGCTCAAAGATTTAGTCAAAAAGCACTTTATAGTTGGGCTGCACCAGCCTGCACGGAGCCCCTGCCTGCTCTCCCAGCCAGGGCTGGCGTCACCACCCGGGATTTTGCCTCTGTCTCTGCTGGTGGGGACAGTCAGCAACAGTCAGCAACCCTAGGAGGGCTGGGTAGTCACTGCCTGGTGAGGATATTTTCCTGGAAGCTGACTTTTGGTGAGGAGGAATGTGTTCAGACTCCCTGGAGGATGCAATCCCAGCTGACTGCAGCTCCCATCCTCATTTGCCACCCCTGCACTGTGAGGAACTGCTGTCAGGAGGAAGCTCACTGGTGCAGCAGGAGCTTGTATCTCCTCTTCCTCACCGTGCTGTGGGGGCCAAATGCTCCCTTTCCCATGTGGGTCTCTTTCCTTCCCTTTGATTTAAACCCAAGTCAGGGTTAAAGCCAAGGATGTCACCTGAGGAGGGCACAGCAGCACCTGTAGGGATGGCCAGGAGACATGGATGTGGTCCAGCATGGGCGAGGTGTCCAAGGAGGAGGAGGAAGAGGAGGAGGAAGGCTGGCAGAAGTCACCATTGGGGCCACCTGGGCTGCAGGACAAAACCATGGTGGCTGCAGGGGCTTCTGAACTCACTCGTGAGCAGAGCCCTCCCTTCGAGCATCCAGGTGTCCAGCACCATCCCAGCTCTGCAGCACCTTTGTGGACAACCTTGTAGAGAGCCCTCTCCCCCCCCAGTGGTGGCTGAGCCAGCTCTCCTCTCTGTCCCTGGTGGGACCCTGGGCCACCACTCCTGCCCAGCTGCTGGTGGCTGCAGGGATAATGTCACGTAGGAACCGGGTTTCAGGAAAGAGCAAGAGGTGCAGTGCTGGAGGGCTGAGCCCTCCCCAGGCTTTCTCAGCCCACGGGGCAACAGGGGAGGTTACACAGCATCAGCCACAGGCTTGGAAAACATCATCACCTTGCTTATGGATCACAGTTGTGCTCCCATGTCAGTCCTCCTTCGGGAGTTTGTGATCTCCCGGTTCTCTGCCAGGCTGCTGCACACTAAGTTATCCCCTTGAAGCCCAAGGCTGCTATTCAGCACCTGCAGAGATGCTCCAGTGACTGCCAGAGCCAGAAGTAAAGTTGGACACTGCCACTGACCTCTCCTTGTGATCACTGAGCCCCACCCTCAGTCCTTTTTCTGTGCTTTTTCCAGCAATGGCTTTTTCCACAGCAAGACATGGACAACCTTGACTGAGGAACATCTCCTGGAAACACCTGACCAGGGATCCTCCTCGTTTCCAAATCCCTCCAAAGGTCTGAACCTGCTCAGTGTCCTGGTCCAAGGCCGGGGTCTCATGAGGAGCTCCCTCCTTGCACTGCCCCTGAGCAGGTGTGCTGGAGCCCCACACAGGTCTTTCCTACCTCCAGATTCCAAGTGCTTGGAGATAAGGAGCAGTCCCAGTGTTTTGCTCCAGACTGGGGCTCATCTTCTCTTAAAACCTGGGGCTGCCTGAGGGTCCTGGTGCAGAAGCACCAAGTTGCCCATCCAGTGAGGAAAGGAGAGCAGAGGGGCTGGAGGGTTCCTCTGGCTGAAGCATGAGCTGCTCTCTGGACATGTGGATTGGAAAGAATATTCATCCCATGTCCTAGGACTGCAGCCTGGGGCTTTAGCACTGTTTGGGAACAGGCAGTTCCCTGTCCTGCCCCCTACAACACCTCGTGCATGGGGCTCTGCCCTGTGCTCGGGCCACCCCCGAGGCTGGAGGCACCAGCTGTCCCAGGGTTTGAATTCTCTCTGTGCTTGTGGCTTCAAGGGAAAAGACAGGTCCGGTGTACACGAATCCACCTGGTTTTTTTTAAGATTTTCTGATCACTTTAAGAGTTCACAGGTGCTGGGGCAGATGTTGCTGCACCAACATCCCCGGGAGCTGCTCTGTCTGTGCTTGTTTCACAACCACGCCCTGGGAGATGCTGGTCCTCCCTAGGACACAGAGGAGGACAAGCAACCTGCTCCCTGCCACTGCTCTGGGTAGCCCTGTGTCATTCCCAGGGCTGCCAGCACAAGGAATGCCATGGTTCTTGCTGTTACAGCCACTCCTGCAGCCCCCGTGGGCCTTGGGTTACCACATCCATTCTCCCTGGGAACCAAGGGCTGTGTGTGGCAGCAGAGCTGGAGAGCATCTCCCAAGTCTGTGGTGGCCTTAGAGCCTTTGCTGAGACCCTCAGATGCCAGAACTGGCTACTCTTGCTTGTGGTGGGTGGCCTGGGGACAGGGTCAGTTTTGGGGCACCCACCACCCTTGTCCGCTGCCACCCCCAGCCTGAGCTCCGGAGATAAAACCCTTCTTCCTCACACAGCCCTTTTAGGTAGGACTTGAAATTCATTTTCTTCTCACCAGCTCAGACGGTAACATCTTTTCCTCTCTTGCCTCGTGTGTCGTTTTTTTCCAGCTGTTCAGATCCACATCCTGAAAGCGGAAAAAAATGCTGACTGGTGGAAGTTCACGGTCAACATCATCTCCGTCTACAAACAAGGGAGCAACCGGATACGGCGCGGAGACCAGACCCTGTGGATCCACTCCAAGGACATAGCGTGCAAGTGCCCCAAAATCAAGCCCATGAAGAAGTATTTGCTGCTGGGCAACAACGAGGACTCTCCTGACCAGAGCGGCATCATTGCGGACAAAACCAGCCTGGTGATCCAGTGGCGGGATACGTGGGCCCGGCGGCTCAGGAAGTTCCAGCAGCGGGAGAAGAAGGGGAAGTGTAAGAAAGCCTAAAAGGAGGAGAAGGCCACGGAGGGCGCGGGAGGGAGAGACTGACTGTGCATGCTGCTTTGTGTAGAGCTGGGGCGGGCAGGGACCGGCGACGGGGACGCGCCGCCGGGGCGGGCTGGGGGGACGGGAGGGGGGTGGCGGCCGTGGGGCTGTCGGGATTGCACCTCGTGTTCCGGGGGAAAACAAAACCTAAACCCAACAAAAACAACCGTGCACATGGACACAAACCCAGAGGAGTGTGGGTGTGGCACCCAGTGCCCCCCCACGCTTCTTCCTGCCCCCCATTGCCGAAGAACTCAGAGACACCAAACTGCCTTCCAGCTGCCAACATCTGCTGCTTCCAAAGCATGGCATGGGAACATCAGACCTGTAAGAAACTAATCAACAGCAACGCTGGAAATTAACTCTCCATCCCCAAAATACGTATTCGCAGCTTAGGTTGACCAAGACAGTTATTGTAGAGGAAACTAAACAGAGACTTTTCGCCGAGGACAGATCCGAGATCGACTGACGGGTTATCGAAGACTTGGGTACCCCAGAGCCGTAACCACCACTGCTGTGTGGTCCCTGGGGAGGTCTCCAGCCGTGATGATGCTCTGAGCCCAGTTTAGGCACAGCCAAGAGGGGACCTTGTTGGTGGGCGACTTCCCCATGTGCATAACTCGGGGAGTGACTCCTCGCTCCAGCCCCCACGTCCTGAGAAGTGCTGTCCCCCCCACACTGAAGGAGCGTGAGCCCACGGGGTGCCCTCCCGATTCCCAGTCAAGGAATTAATAACCAGGTTCCCCAAGGAAACACCCAGACTCGGCCAAAAACTGGCATCCAGTCCCAGAAGTGCTCCAGAAGATCCCTGAGTCTCCATTGTGGCCACCCCTGAGATCTCCTTCATGGGCTCGGTCCTCTCTGGTGCTGTCAGCAGACCATGAACCCTCAGATGACAGAAAATCTGTGCAGATGACACCCAGGTCCTGGTTGGCCACTGGTTTCACTCCCGAACTCAGGCAGCTCTCCCAAATCCACACCAGCTCTGCCCTCACTCCCTCCGGAGCTGTAGCTCCCTGGCATCCCTGCATAAGGTGGCCACTTCCTTGGAGACAAAGGAGTGGGACAGTGAGTGCCAGGGACTGTCCCCGTGGGGCCAGGGTAGAGCTCTAAGGCTTGGCTGAGGTGGAGCCCGTGCAGGGCAGAGACCTGCCCGAGGGAAGGGACTGGATGAATAAGATGTAACCCACCTGGAGCTCCCCAAACTGTTCTCCTCCTTCTGCTGGGGGTGAAAACTCCGAATTTAAATTTCCCAATTTCAAATCACAAACACAACTAAGCCAGGTAGGGGCTGCCTCACCTCCAACCTGCATCCTGAGGGCAGGACTGGCTGTTGAGCTGTCACCCAGGCACTGCACCCCCGTGCCAGGCTGCTCCCCTGCCACCCCAGCCCGTGAGGAATGGGGATATCCGAGTTCACCTCATCCAGGGAGACAGGAAAGGCAGGGAGGGCAGGACGGGTACCTGGAGGAGAAGCAAACATTAGTCGCTATGAAAAGCAAAACCTCCCTGATATTTTTCCTTTTAGGAAACTTGGAAACATCTATTTTATGACATTTTCCAGTGGTTTTGCCTTGTTTTATAGCAATTGACAATATTTATATAATGACATAAACCACCATAAAGCGAGGCAGCCATGTAAATAGGTGCAAAGTGGAGGCTCCCAGGGAAGCTCCAGCCAGCACTGGGTTGCTGGAGACACCACCCGGAGGGAGCAAGCTCTGCTGAGTCTCCCCCTGCCACCACAAGGCCCTCCAAAATTAGTCCGGGTATTAGGAGAAAAATCCCACTCTGGACATCAAGCAAATCCCCCTCAAGTCTGTGTTTTCTCACCTTTCCCAGAGCGGACTTGGTTTTTCTCATCTCAGAGCTCAAGGAGAGGTGACAGTTTTGCAACCCAGGGAACCCAAGCCACCAAGTTTTGAGGAACAAAATCTGACCTCAAGTGTCTAAATGGAGACTTAAAGCCCCAAAATGGGGGTTGGATGCTCTCCTGCAGCCAACGTCAGCTGATGCCAGGGACACCCCACCAGCTGGAGACAGCATGTCCTTGGTTATTTGGCATGTCTTGAACCACAGGAGACCTTCAAATGGCCTAAAACCAACGGGATCCAACCCAAAGCCAGTTCACTTGGAGTGCAGGAAGGCAAGGCCAGGGGACTTGAGGACTTGGGAACTGCCCACTGAGCACACCTGGACTCCCATTTTCCAGCCTTGTCAAGCACAGCCACCCTCCCCAGCACAGCCTTGACCCAGGGACACCACCCAGCCCCTTCCCTGCTCCCACTGGTCTCAGAGGCTGCAGAAGAACCACCACCCACTCCATGCCATGGCCAGACCCCTCCAGGCACAGACACAACCTGGGAAATCTGAAGGAAAGGAGTTCGCACAGGACATGGAACAGCTCAGATCCCACGGGGGTGAAGTCCCCATCCCTGTCCCACCAGGACCCTGTCCCATCATCCCTGTTGGAGTTTTGCATTTCCAACCAGACCAGGGAAACCCCTCCACTCCATGCACAGTCCCCCAGTGCCCCTCATGCGCTCCCAGTAACCCTGACCCGCAGGAGCTGCTGGTGGAACTGGCACACAGCCTCCCCCACACCCATTTTCGGGGTGCCCAGGGATGCAGCACTTCCCTGCAGCCACCCCCTGCTCCAGGACATCTCCTAGGGGGACACCTCTGTCCAGTCACCCAAAGAGGGACAAGATGCCCCCCTAAACATGCCCTGCACGGCCAGGGGTGCAGCTCTGAGGGGAACCAACTGCACCACGACCAGCAAAGAACCCCCCACGGCCCTGGGGACAGGACAGGGGGCCGGGAGGGCAGTGGGGGTGACCAGGGAAGGGGCTGTGGTGCCTCCAGCAGGGCTCTGGAGAGCAGCTGAAATGCCAAAACAATCATCACTGACGGTAGCACCCGACAAAAGTCGCTTCGTCTCGTTTCTGTTCGTCTCGTCGTGTCCGTGCCCTCTCCCCGCACACCCCCCTCGTCCCCTCACAAAACCTGTGTTGTTTTGGGGTTCAATTGTTTTTGTCAATTTTTTTTTTTTTATTATTTCTGTTAATATCTTGAACTGTAAATGTTGTTTAGTTATGACCATGGCAGACTGCTTTGGGCGATGTTTCTTTACAATGCATACTAATATATTATGGTTATTATATATGAATATATTTAATGACACGTGAAAAAGTTGTGGATTTTCTTATTGTTTTCCCAGTTGTTCCTTTTTTTTTCTTTCGTTTTTATTTTTGTCCCCCTCTTTGTTTGTTTGTTTGTTAGATTGGCTGTAATTTACCTGAAGGAGCTTGTAACTGTTCAGCACCCACTCGGTAGAACTAAAGTCAGAAACCAGTTGAATAAACTCTTGTAAACTGTAAAAATCTGCATGGATCTCTGCTTCCTCCCACCCCTCAGGCTGGCAAGGGACGGGGAAGTGACGGTGTCCCCTCTGCCTCCCTGGGTCTGCCATTGTCCCCTTGAGGGACATTGTCCCCTTGAGGGTTGAGGTGGCACGGCTATTTTTGACTGCCAGTCCCAGCCACGTCCCCCAAATATCCCCCTGGCACTGCTCCCTGCCCGTGGGGACAGTGGGTCACCATGGGAGACATGGGGGTGGGATGGGGGGCCCCTCCCAGCACCTCGGCTGCCAGAGGAGACTGAGCCCTGCAGTGAGACAGAGCCAGGGCCTGCCAAAACCTGTGGGACCCCATACAGAGTTGGGGGACAGGTGAGGGGACAGGGCAGATCCACAGTCTGGGCTCAGGGGAGCTGCCAACCCCACTCCAGACCTATTTCTGTCCCATGCACAGGCTGCTCACCAGCACTGTCCCCTCCTGCTCATCCTGTGCATCAGCTCCACCACCCATCGCCCACGGGGCATCAGTGGGGCCAGTGCTGCTGCTGCACCCGAGCCCAGGCCAGGGCTGGTGGCACCGACAGGATGGAAACCTGGAGGAGGGGGGAACTGAGGCAGCAAAACACTTCCAGGGAGAAAAATACAGGCAAAAGGTCCTGCAGACTGCCGAGGGGTCAGACCCCTGACCCTGCCCTCGGCATCATTGGTAATTTATGGATCTAAAAACATCTCGGAGGTCAGAAATCTCAGATCTTTATTGCACAGACAAATGGGCCACAAGTGACACCCCCTCTGCTGCGGGGCCATCGCCTGTGGCTCCACTGAGGAGCAAATGGGTTTCCCACATTGCTCTGGCTCCAGGCAGGTGGCCCAGTCATCCAAAGGTGACACGGTGGCTCTGGAAAGAGGGGGATGAGCCTATTCCCACTGAGGGCCAGACCCAGAGCAGTTCTCCCAGCCTGGTCCCACCAGGCAGCGTGGGAGACCAGCCATCCATGCCCTGAGCACTGAGCTCACACCAGAAATGAGAGCATGTGAAAATGCCCAGCAGCCTCCCAAGGTCACCTCTGTCCTCACAGAGGAGCCGGGGACGTTTTACTCAGGGCACTGTGACATCCAAGTGTGTGTAGCACGTACCAGGCCTTCCCCCAGCACTTGTATTTTTGATAAAATAACAACTGGAAGCGACTGAAGTCCTGAGCATGTCGTCCAAGAGAGAAAGGGAGGAGTGGAAGGGAAGGCAAAGGGAATGTGTCTCTCCGGGCACATTCCAGGAAGACCTTTGCTTGGAGAAGCCACTGCAGGTTGGCTTCTCCAACCCTGCTGCTCAGAGCCAAAAAACAGCAGCTCTCTCGTATTTTAACCTTCCCTTTTCTTTAGTGGGGCAGGGAGACAGCACAGCTTTCCTCCTCACAGCAGAACGCTGCCAAATCTGCTGCTTTTTAATAAAATTCCTCACCCACACAACACATTAAATGTTACCTAAAGGGCAAGTCTGAGAACCCCTTTGTTCGACATCTCGGAGAGCAAATCCTCGTGTTTCCACCCAGCAGGAAAAATGTGCCTGAGGACCCAGTGGGTCAGAAACCTCCTTTTCAAAGGCTCGACCAGAACAAAGTCACAATGTAACGTTGATCGGGATGAGTTACACGTCCATCCTGCATGTCCTGGGAATTCAAACAAAACCTTCATTCCCTCTGTAAATGACA